ATCTATATTTATATTATATTATATATACATATATAAATTGATTTATAAATAATAATAAATTATTTATATGGGTATTTTATATATTGAGTTCTTTTGGTGGTAGGGCTTTTAGTTGTGCTGCGCCAAAATTCTGTAATTCTTAGCCACTGCACATTCGCCAGCTGGATTCTATTTCCCTCTTTAAAACTCAGATTAAAACTTATCTGTTTAGAATAGCTTTTAGTGATTTGATTGTTTGATTTTTATGTCTGTGTGTTTTGTATAGCTTTGTATTTTGTATTGTTTTGTATTTTATTGCTGTTCTTTTATGATGTAAGGTGTCCTTGAGTGTTTTGAAAGGCGCCTAAAAATTTAAGGTATTATTATTATTATTATTATTATTATTATATATACAATAAATTTGCATTACATACTGAGCACAGTATACAGTACATTTTGCAAATATAGTACAGGTAGTATGTGATTCTGAACATACTCATTGAGATCTTCTTAGCTGTTCCTCACCTTTAAAGCTGACTCTCCATCTCTGAAAGTCTTCTGCACTTGATCTGTCTGCGTGGAGCTCACGGTCGGCGCCAAGCTGGGTTGATCCTGTATGAGGAGTCAGGCAAACAGGTAAAATAAAGCGCAAGGTTTAGATACTCACCGCAGAGCCTCAACTAGGTCAAAACTGCATTCGCTGCCTCCATCTAGGACAGAGTTAAGCTAGAGGCAGCCGATGACAATGAGCTGCTGTTTAGAGTCAAGCGCCCCCGAGGTGCTTTCAACTGTTTGTTTACCGAAACAAATCCACATTTAGAGCAGAAACAGCTGGTCCGAGCTCAGACTGACAATGAGGGGATGGAAGCGAGGGGAGATGGGACAGACTCGTAAAACAAGAGTCAGGAGTCATTATTGTTTTCATAATGATGGCAATCGGTTGCTGCATTCTTGCATCATATCTGGCTTACAAGCATGGCAGACTAAAATAAATATTTTTTTTTTATTCACTACACTTTTATTGGACTCTACATGAAACCGTATTTTTATAGAATCTTTATTTATATATAATTATAAGTATTTGTATAATTAATTATATACAAAATGTGATTAAAAAATGAACCTAAAGTTAATACAAATGAGCAATTAATGGCCGCTGACCCTTCATACAAGCTGGAGGGTGTTGATTCGGCGAGGACTCACCTTGATTAGTGGCGGCTCAGGTGAGCTTCTGCTCAGAGGGAGGCTCTCGGGTAGCTGTGGCTTCTCTGCTGGAGCTGGAACTGCTGGCGTATTCTGATGCGTCTGAAACAACAGTTCTGAAATCAGCTGAACTCTTCCAGTTCTTAGCAGTGCATGAAGAGGCGGTGATCTCTAATCTGTACTAACAGGCAATTTATGCAAACAATTATTTAAATAATGAAGTAAACAAATAAATAAATGAAGGATAAATACATAAAAGTTGATCATATAAATATTACTATAATAATATACAATATAATAATAATACAATAATAATTATTACATTTAATCTAATATATTTATTTCTAAATATAACATTTAATATTTTTAATAATAATTTATAAATTTGTTAATTGAATTAAAATATTTTTTATTTTCTTCTTCAAAGTATTATTTTCGAATGTTTTTACTTTTTTTTTTTTTCCTGAAAGTGAAAATGCTGCACATGTGTGTGTTATGTGGAGCATGATTTTGGTGGTCACTTGAGTGGTTAGGACAAAACAGGCAATTTATGCAATAAATAAAAATATATTTGCAGATTAATCTAATAATATATATTATGTAATAATATAATAATTTAACAATTTAATATTAATATATAAAATTGATCATCTCTGTTTTTCAATATTCAAATTATAATTTATTAATTTATAATTAAATTAAAATATTTTTATTTCATTTTTTAATTATTCTTTTCAAATATTATTTTTTTATTTTTTTTGCATAACATATTTAACATTTATGTTAAGTGGAGTATGTTTTGGACCAATGAGTTTTCATGGTGTTCATCAAAATTGTGCTATTGAAATTGTACTCGTTGGCTGGTGCTTTGGACAAAAACACTGATACCAACACAAAATCAAATCAAATGTGGCTATTCATACTGTACCCTACCTCACTGGAGTAGAACGAGGAAGGCTGGGAAGGAAAAGGAGCGACAGCCATTTGATTGATAGCATCTTCATTCCTATCAACAGACAGAAAAGATCTAATGTTAATCCCATGCAATAGCACAAAAGTATAAAGCATGTCAATTTTCCACAAATTGACAAAAACATACACACAAAATTATGATGGTATTATTTTTCACCAGCAAAACATCTTAAAGGTACAGTTCACCCAAAAAAGAAAATTCTGTCATCATTTAATCACCCTCATGTCGTTCCAAACCTCAATGAGTTTTTTTCTTCTGTTGACCACAAAAAAGTTGACGGTAGCCATTGATTTCCACAGTAGTTTTTCATACTATGGAAATCAATGGCTATGTTCGCACAAGGCTTAACTGAGAAAAATGAATCCCATCCTTTCAACGACACCAAAATTGGTCCCGCTCTTTCTCTGCTTCTCATGTTCCCACATGGCTCTTGGCAGTTTTCTCTGCTCAGATCGATAAGGACTGATGGGCCAGATAAATTGAGATGTTGTGCTATGAATCCTCAGAGCCTCTTCCTCAAGATCTTGGGTTGACGAGTAATATCGCTCCCTACACCCCTGCTTCTGTTCACCTTGGCATTATTGTCTTTGTGCACTAAATGACCCATTTCCAATTACAGGTAATGTGTTTTTGTCAAGGTAAGGTCGACGCAGGTGAACAGAATTTATGAAACGATCAATCCTCAGCTTGTTTCCAAATAACCCCTTCTGAAGGAAGATCGAAACACCAAATCAGAACTAACTAGGGTCACTAGTCCTGATTTCATCCAGCTCTGAAATCCCCGCGCTTAACAACTTGGAAACTGGCCACAATGAGACTGTGACATTTTGCCATTCGTGTCACAGGTGGACACGGTTCAGTCTTGACCACTGGCCAGTTATCTTACCATGGCAACATGCTTTTCTCTATTGCATTCCATCATGTGTCGCTGAATGACTTTTGACACAATACAAATAATTTACAAGGGCTTTCCGAACAGTCTGAATTACAGACCAAACTGTCGCAATAAAAGACGCAAACCATGCGTCCATTAAAGCAAATCCAGTAGCATGTAAACATGTGTTTTGATAGACTTAATCTGAGATGCCCATCATATTTCTCGGATTTCTGATAATTAGCTGTAGACAGCAAGGAGATACTGGTGCCTTTACACAGCCGTTATCAGCGAAACCTGTTGGACTGACAAAACAACCATACAAATAAAGGTCAAGCTAACAAATACTCATATGAAACACGAGATATGAACAGAAACAGATAATAAGTCTCTGATTACACCTAATGACAGAGTCAGTGTTCGTTTATGATGGACTAATGGGCTGTGCTGTTTCATAACCATGTATTGCATTGCAAAAATCCTCTATAAGCTTCAAAAAATGCTTTATAGTGATAGCAGTTCCAGTTTATTACACCATATCACACCTCACTCTCTGGATGGGAGGACATGCCAACTCCAGAAATGCCATCAAGTATCACAAGAAATGCATCAATGTCACATGACTTTGCTCGTGTTGCTAATCCACAGAAGCCAGCATGCGTCTGATTCGGTACTTAGGAACGATGACTCCACTCTTCAAAGTCACAAGAGACAGAGATAAGGTGATATGGAATTTAAAATGCTAGACTGCTATTGTAACCCAAGAATGCATATGGGGGTCAAATTGACCCGGTATGCTGTGATTTTTAAAATGTTTTATTAATAAAAACATTTATTTGATATTCTACGAATTACTACGAAAAAAAAAAGATTTTTTCCCACTGTCATTAATATTTCTTGGTTATATGATCAGAATTTGTTTTTTTATATCATTAACCCAAGAAGGTATAATGGGGTCGAAATGACCCATATTCATTTCCTATGGAATTCTGACTCAACATAGTGTTTTTGAATACTTTTTTGTCTGATATACAGCCATAGTGCACTGCTACTCGTGTGATACTGCTCATAGTCTCAATTTATATATATAAATTGAACGATATTATTCTTGAATTTGGTGCAATTAAATTATTTAAGTTATGTATTTGTTAACAACCAATAAACAGACATGACTGCATTTACATCTGAACACAGAGAAATGGCTTTCTCTTAACTCACGTTAACTTCAAATGGGAATGTTGAACGAAAGTACTGGCACTGACTCAGATTGCTTCAATCCTACACAGACTGCCATTGCCTCCTTAAAAAGCCTGCTTTATGATCCTAATTAGCCACGGTGCCTTGGGTTTTCAGCTTGATCAAGGAGTTTCGACCGGAGAAAAAAATGCACTTCATTCGTATCTGGGCAAGTGAGATTGCTTGGTTTGCATAATTGCAAGGAGGAAAGAACGGCAGTTTCTGTGAACATGCTGATTCAAGCTGAAGACAGTGACAATAATTCACAACATTTTGAGCTTGTTATAAATATTAGAGCTGTCAATGAATCAATAATTGATAACGATATTATTCTTCAATTTGGTGCAATTAATCACACATTTCAAAACTCCAGAGGAATAAACTAACACATTATAATAAATTTATGATCTCATTATTTTTAATGAGTTAAAGAATTCATAATAAAGCTGAAATGAGAGTCATTTCTTAGTAATGAGCAGATGGTAGTGTGAGAAAACAGCAGGCTGAGGGTTGTCTCTGAGGGTCTCTTACCTGACCAGGACGAGTTTGACCTTTGAAGAGGCGCTTTTTATTATGGCCGATGCATTCTGGTGGCTCCTACCGTACAACACCTGGTTGTTTATCTGATGGAAGCACAAAAAATTCTGTTAGCACAAGACAAAAAATAAGACTTGTCAAAGAAAACTGTCAAATGGTGTTAACATTGTAGTATTATAACATTTAATGATCAATTTATATGGCAAAATGGCAACAAAGGTAAAACTAAGAAACTTGGCAAAAACAACAACAACAACAAAAAACAAAATGTGTGAAAATTTAAAAGGTGAAACTGAGAAACTTGTGGGAAAATGGGAACGAAAACAAAAAAGAAGAAAAAACAAACAAAAAAAAGTGTGAATTTTAGAAGGTAAAATTTAAAAACTTGGCAAAAAAAACAAAAACAAAACTTAGGGAAAAATGGCAACAAAGGTAAAACTAAGAAACTTGGCAACTAAACAAAAAGACAAACAAACAAACAAAATGTGAGACATTTCAAAAGGTGAAACTGAGAAACTTGGGTCAAAATGGCAAAAACAAAAACTAAACGGCAACAATAGTAAAACTGAGAAACTTGGGGGGAAAGGGCAACAAAACAAAAAAAGAAAAAAAAGGAGAATATATGAAAGTTAAAATTGAAAAACATGGGAAAATGGCAAAAAAAAAAAAACTAAACCAAAACACAAAACAAAAAAGGTAAAATTGATAAACTTGGTGGACAATGGCCACAATAAAATGAAATAAAATAAATAAATAAATAAATAAGTGTGATAATTTAAAAGGTAAAACTGAGAAATTTGGGGAAAATGGCAACAAGTTTCAATACCTAAAATTTACACTTTCCCACATATATTCATATAAATTTAATCCAAAATCTGTGAAAAAAATCTGTGTGTCTGATATGACAAATAACATGGACAACAACCAATGTACAGACATAACTTAATCTACATTTGAACACAGAGAACCACATCCAAAACCTGTGGTAATTCCATGGTACCTTTTTTGTAAGAATTTGCTCTGCTGAACCGGTTTACAAATAGCCACATCTAAGTTTGCAAACACATATTTGAGACCGTTTGACTTGCATCTCCAATCACCTGTGACAGAATCATTAGGCAGGAGCACTAGTGGATCGTGACTAATGCCGCAGTGTGTTCACGTCTAATGGAGATAGATATTAGCCAAAGGTCAGCGAGCACGGCTCTGAGCCACGGCTACACCGGGCCTCAAACTCCACACCAAAATACGGCATTCGCACGTGTCGACCAAATTACTAAATCGATAGGCAATTCTGAGGAGGAAAGGAACGTGGAAACCAAAATGCCATCTGGATGGGAAAAGATCAGGGAATTTATTGTGGGATGAGGCAATATGGAGGACCAGCTGAGTTCATTCAGAAATGAATTGCGAATGCCTTCCTAAATTTGAATGGAATGTAAATTAAAGTAGCAAACAGGATTCAGAGTCTTTTTAAAGTCAACTAAAAGTGTAATTTTAATAAGTTTTTTTTAATAAGTATTTTTTTCATTTTCATTGTTAAGCATGAATTACCCATAAACGTAATATAATATACACAACTGTGCTATTTCCAGAAATATTAGATGATATTATTAATTACCTTTATAAATTTGTATTTAAATGTATTTGTCATAAATAAATGTTAATAGTAATATAATTAATAATAAATAATAAAAATAATTACTAATTATATTTTAATTATCTTTTTAAATTTTATGGTCAGATACATTCACCAAAATGTTTCATAAATTATATAATCAATTGATTAAATATTAATTTGTGGATTCGCTTTTTTTTTTTAATAAACTGAAAAATATTTTAATTATTCACATTGTGTCAATGGTTTGGCCAATTCAATTCAAAGTCACACTCATGAGTAAAAACATTAAAATTGTGCATGAATATAAACATAAAAGTGACCCGGTGTTATCAGTGTGTTTCACCTCGCAATGAATTATATCTTACGGTGAGGTTGAGGGGTTGAAGGAGAGATAAAGCGAGCAGAAGAGGAAGGCGGGGAAAGTGATAAGCACAGACAGAGATAGTGAAACTGAGGGCAGGTGGCTTCATTTGAAATTCATCCGGCCATCTGAGGCAAAACCCTACACTCGTGTTTGCACATTAATAGCTCAGGCACAGATACAAACAGATGAAGACAGAGATAGAGGAACCAGCTGATCCACATCCAGAACAGACAGCCTGACCACCACGTCCCTCGAGACTCAAAGTGATTTTGCCTGTATGAGACTGACCCAGACGACCCTTGAGCCCCATGCTTCATTCAGCATTAGACCATATTGAGAATGAAATTGATGGAAACCACCATTTCCCCCTTTGGATTACAAGGGGCTCAACAGGAAAAGGCTATTACCTAGAGAAAGAAAAAATGAAAGCGAGAGAGATATAGTTTCTAAATCCTGAGAACTGACTCACAATTCCTCACTGGGAGCTATGTTAGAGTCACTTAAAAAAGGTCAGGGACCCTTTGTTTTAATACATATTTTGTATTATTATTAATAGTTTATATTAATTGAGCAATATGTGTCACTCACTAATATTAATTATATATAATATTAAATGCATATCATTAATTCATAATAAAAAAATAAGTCATATTTAATATTAATGAGCGACAAATATACATTA